CCACGCTGGTGAAGACAATCTGAATGAAGTGAGGAAGATTAGACAGGAGACAGTGACAGTATCAGATAACAATGTTTAGGCCCCATCTGGGGCCTACTGACCCAAAGTCTACAGGAGTGGGGCTCAAACACCTGTATTTTCCACGCTGGTGAAGACAATCTGAATGAAGTGAGGAAGATTAGACAGGAGACAGTGACAGTATAAGATAACAATGTTTAGGCCCCATCTGGGGCCTACTGACCCAAAGTCTACAGGAGTGGGGCTCAAACACCTGTATTTTGCAATGCTTTCCAGGTGATTCTTCTATACCTTGGTATCTTAAGAATCCTGCTCTAGGGCAGAGGTTTTCAAACTTTAACATCCATCAAAATTTTCTGGAAGGCTAATTAAAGCACAGACTGCTAGGTCCCACCCCTAGAGTTTCTGATTAAGTAGGTCTGGATGGGACCTGATAATCCACATTTTAACAAGTTCTCAGGGGATGCTAACACTGCTGGTCCAGCGACCACACTTTGAAACCCACTGCTCTAGAAGAAGTCCTAGTGTCAACTGAGTTGATTTTAGATATAAAGATGTTCTGACAAAGTATAAGGGAGAGGTTTTGACAAAGTAAAAACAGTCATTCACAAATAGAATGGGCTGCCTGGTGAGTAGAAACTGGAAGCACTGCCCCTGTCACTGCACATGCTCAAGCCAGGTACTGGAAACAGGTGACATATGGTGATCCTATGCCTCTCTCAGCTCACAAAGTCCATGCCTCTACTTAGCTGGAAGCATGCCCCCCCACCAAAAAAAAAAAAAAAAGTTATGTTTCTGTTTTCAATAATATTTTTTCTCTTTAAACCAAAACACAAATTCAATTTCAAACTCAGTTCTAAGCTTCAAAGTAATGCCTTTAAAAACAGCATTGTAATTCCAATCAAATTTCATACAGGGTGTGTGAGCAAGCCAATGGGTAGTTTTGCAAGCACCAATGGAGACGTGACACATCCACTGAAACACCTTTCTGCATCAGCAGGTTTACTAGAGGTACACAATCTTGTCCTGTCAACACAGAGAAAGAATAAACTTGGTGTGAGAACAATGTGTAATTGTTGAAGGCTTAAAAAATTAAAATCAAACAAAAGAAACAAGTCCTATATCCAAGCTCCATGGCCTCCTTAAAAGGTTTCCACTTATATTCTAACCAGTTTGTAGGACAGAAAAAGGTGAGGTAAAAAATGATTGGATTAGGGGCTGGCCAGTTAGCTCAGTTGGTTAGAACATGGTGCTGATAACACCAAGGTCCAGGGTTTGATCCCTGTACTGGCCAGCTGCCAAAAAAAAAAAAGAAAGAAAAGAAAAGAAAAGAAAAAAGTTGATTGGACCAAAATTATACCCTTAGTTCCTTGAAATTCTCATTCTGTATTTATAATTATTGTCACTGTGTTTCTGAAACATAAAAGAATAAGACTGTGGGTTGACCAGAGTTCTATTATGTATTACCCAGTTGTACACTATAAAAACTAAATTCCTAAAGCTGTATAAAGGTTGGTCTTAAATATGAATATACTTTCTAAATAGTCTTCTATTCTAGTACAGACAGTCCCCGACTTTACAATGCTTCGAAAATCATACACATTCAGTAGAAAACATATTTCAAATTTTGAATCTTGATCTTTTTCCAGGCTAGTTATATGCCCTCGATACTCCTGCAATGCTGGGCAGAGGCAGCAAGCCATGGCTCCCAGTCAGCCACGTGATCACGAGCCAGGTGATTTTGCCCAACCATTTGGCTAATATCTTAAGTATAAAATGCCCAATTTATAATTTATTGATTGTCCAGCAAGGAATTTGGCCACCTTTTTTTTTTTTTTGGCCAAGAACACACAATATGACTAGAGCCAGATTTCCCTTTTCTAAGCTATTCAATTTTCATGCAATCTGTCTAAAGTGGTACCTACCAAGCCACTCTGTAAGGTTAAAAGGTGACATCCTTCCAAAGAGACTTTCTTTTCACATTCCATTCAATACTTTCTAAATAGCCTTGAGGTTTTACTATCCAAATCTAAGCTCATCTTTCCTTAGTTCCTACATTACTAAACCATTTCATCTTCTCATATCAATCAGAATTAACCCCTGAAGCACTTTATAACATGTTTTTAAATCAAACACTTATGTGGAAGATATTTTTGATAACTTCAACTGGAACTGGCATTTCCTCATTAAACGAAGATTCCCAATATTCATTTCTTCATTTGGGCCCTTGAGCTCTACATTTCTTTTTAGAAGTCATTTGATTGTAGGTTGATTAATAAAAGTCAACATACCTCCAATGTCATCCTTCTACAAATCTTGAAGTTTTACAACCCTTAAAAGTTTTTTAAGCCACCTTTAAGGTAAGCATAACGCCAGGAAGAAGTGAAATCCTGGGGCTAACACCTTGCCCAAAAGCCCTTTTATAATTTCTGACCTGAATGTTCAGAGGATTGACCTGAGCATTTGGGACAACTCTGGGGTGTAGAGGGGTGTGGGTCAGAGTGAACACAAAGCCTTCCAATGAGTCCCTGAACCAGTGTGGCTTTTTCATAGACTTTCTGGCCTGAGGGATGCAGGTGAGACAATACTCTAGAAACAGTTGGGAGATGACATTCACTGGTCATTTTCCCCCGGAAGTTTACCTCATGGTGAGGTTTTCTTAGAGCCTCGTCACTGGGGAAATTCCCTGAAGTCAAGGTCTGGGTTTGATTATCTTGAATTTCCTCAGCACCTGATTAGAGTGTTCTGGACACAATAGGAACTTAGTAAACAGGAGTTAAGAAGACTGGTTTTCTGGATTGGCTAAGAAGCTAAAAATAAAATAATGTCCTTGTCCCACCTCTTCATCTATGTAAGTCATATCCCCCTTCACAGTTTCTATCTCAGATCTCACTTCTAACCATCCTGACCATTCTGAACCACGCGTCTTCCTCTCTGAAACTCTAAGAGGACTGTGCACACAATGTTATTTTCATCATGTGATGTCACAATCACCTGTTGTCTTAGATTGCTACTTAAGTGTTCCCAAAATCTGTAAGTGCTCTGAAGTCAAGGATAGTGTTTTACAGACCCACAGTATATAGTACTATGCCCAAAAGAAGTTTTTTAAAAGAATGAAAGAGTATAAAAAAACAAACACTGTTTGTCATTGTTTTGAAAAGCAAAACGAATATACTTATACGATTCCACAGTATATAGTACTATGCCCAAAAGAAGTTTTTTAAAAGAATGAAAGAGTATAAAAAAAACAAACACTGTTTGTCATTGTTTTGAAAAGCAAAACGAATATACTTATACGATTTATTCATATAAGAAAGATCTGGTAAGACAGAAACAAAAGGCAGAGATAATATGATATGGCAGGACAGACTTTTGTATCTTACAGCTGGTTAGCTGATTTCTTTCTTCAGTTTCTGGGGGTAAAAAAGATAGTCTACCAGACTACAGAATTAGAAAACCCTGCAGAAAAAAATAAGTGAAATGACAGCCCTTTTGTTAGCTGCAAGTTGATCTGCTTGCCCTTTACTCCCCCACCCCACCCCAGGAAGAACCCTTGTGTTGGATGGTGATCTTCATGATGACAAAATTTACAAGGCTCTTTTGCTGTGCACTTACTATGTAATGTTGGGCTCTACTGTAAGCATTTAATACTTATTTATTTACTCCTTACAGCATGCTTATGAGGAAAGTAATCTTGTTCTCCTCGTTTTAAAAAGGTGAAACTAAGACTCAGAGAGGTAAAGTAACTTGCCTGGAGACACAGCTAATGACATGAATCTGAGTCCAGGCTCTACCCCACCTCCTTGAGAAACCATTTAGAAACCTGGGGCATGCCTGCATAAACGCAGACGGTTCTTGTACTTCTTCTAATGACACTGTCTTGCTGATCGTGAACTTTTTGTTTTGAGTGGGTTATGGCAACTTGGAGACAGAGCTAAATGATTTCGAATTTTGAGAGGCCATATTGGAGACCTAAGTGTGTGAGAAGATGAAAGTGCTCCCAGATAAGGAACTCTGGGGGAAAGAGAGAATGCAGATGTTAGCTGAGTTTTGTGCAGTGTTGTGTGATGTACATGAGTCCCCGCTTATCTGAGGTTTCATTTTCTGTGGTTTCAGTTACACGCAGTCAAGTCTGAAAATACTATATATAGAAAATTCCAGAAATAAATCTAAATTGCACGTCCAGTTTTAAGTCGTGTGATGAAATTTCAAATCAACCCACTTGTGATGTGAATCATCCCTCTGTCCAGCTACCCTCCCCCCAGTCACTTAGTAGCCACCTTGGTTATCAGACTGACAGATCGCATGGGTGAGTGCAGTACAATAAGATAATGTGAGAGAGAGGGACAAACAGCCAGACACCATATTCACATAACTTTTATTACAGTGAATAATCTCTTACTGTGCCTAATTTATAAATTAAACTTTATCATGGGTAAGTACATATAGGAAAAAACTATCCTCAGTTTCAGACATCCACTGGGGGTCTTGGGACTTATCCCCTGTGGATAAGGGGGGACTATTGTAACTTTTTTTTCTCTGGCCTCTTGTGAAATCCTTAGCAAAATCTACATCATCAATGCTTTGTAATATTGAATCTGCTTTTGGGGAATGAGAAGAATGTTGGAGCCCTGCTTCAAGGTAGGCAAGTACTTGGGTGAGGATAGAGGGTGTCCACAGAATGAGATGAGTCACAGTGAAAATACAAAGAAAAAGTGAACATCAAGAGACCAAGAGCTGGAACAGATTAAAGTGGTAGGTGAAATACTCTCCCTCAGGGATTAACAATTGTGTGACTAAGTAACAAGACTCATTAAGAATAAAGCTATTCATGTTTTAAAGCTGTATCTGCATTTAGGAATCTTAAATATATTAAATAAAAATGGCTAGAATCCACCTGCTTGGCCTTTAGGACCTGAAGGATTTATAGCCCCAAGTGCTGGTGTGTTGATGCAGCTTTATTTCTACTCCTTTGAACTTACCGGTAGGTAGTCTCTGGAAGGAGATCCTTCATAACGTGGGTGGTGGTATTGCCCACAGTAATGCTAGTGTCTCCAAGATCAATGTTGTAAGCAAGGATTTCAGATCCATTATTGCACGGCTCTTCCCAGTTCAGTACAAGGCACACAGAAGATGAATCAGGGTAGGCATTAAGGGGCTCCTCTTCCAGGACACAGAGAGTGGAGACAGGGTCAGGGGCAGATGCTGGTGTCTGGCAAAGGACAAGCTCACTGTACGGCCCTGCTCCAGCTTGATTGAAGGCCTGAAAAACAGAACAGCAACACAAAGGCCACATAAAACCATTAGCACATTCTAATGCTTCTGCGTTAGCTGTTGTTAAGTAATCTAGAGTAGTATACATTTTAGTTCTAGATGCATAGGTAGAAATAAGTCCTAGAAAATGTTCACTTTATTGACCACTTTCCAAAAAAATGTCAATCACATCTTTTCTGTTAATAAAGCAAAATATAATAAGGCTATCATCATCTCTTATGAAAAATAATTTTAAAATAACACTTTATATTTGCATGGCCCACTTCAGTTTATATATCATTTTATATGACCTGCAAAAAACCTTCTGAAGTGGATATAAAATGGCAGGCATTCTTATCTGCTGTTTACAGAGGAGGGAACTCAGAGTCAGACTAAGTAACTCAGACCCCAGACATTGAGGCAAAGCTGGGACTGGAATCCAGTTCATCTGACTTTTAAATCCAGTGCTGCCTACAGTAAAAGGGATTTTAGAAAAGATACCCGTTTTCCACATAAGCAATGACAAATTCCTGCCTGAAGTCATTCTCAGCCCTCACCTGACTTCACTGGGAGGCAAACACTTATTCACCTGATCTCCAGGACTCGCACTCCTGTTCCTCCTCCTACCTTACCTGCTGCTGCTGCTTAATCACCTCTGTCAGTTGCTGCTACCACCCTGGTCTCAATGCTCTGGGCGTCAGGACTCAGTCTTTGGATACCTCTTCACTATCTCTGCTCAAACTCAGAGATCTCATCCTGTCTCAAGGGATAAACGCCATTTATAACCTACTCCCAAATTCAGATACGTAGCTCAGACCCCTGCCCTGAATGCCAGTCTAGCGTTATCTGTATTCAGCTGCCTACTGAGTATCTCCACTTGCAAGTCTAATAGGCATCTCAAACTCAAGTGTCCACATAGCTCCTCATCTCTATCCCAGCCCTCCTTACAAAAAACCCACTGTATCTCCTGTAGTCTTCCCTATCCTGCATGTCACTCAAGTGATACCCCCAAGTCATTCCTTAACACCTTTCTTCCTATCTTACCCTTATCCAGGCCATCAGCACATCCTATACTGCTATAGTCCAACTATACTCTCATCTGGTTATTCTAATGACTTTCAAACTGGTGTCTGTGTTGGCCTTTGCCCCCTAGTTTATACTTACAGCAACCAGAATGATATTTTTAAAACATGAGTATTTTCTATTCAAATTCCTTTGATGGCCTCCCATCTTATTCAGAATAAACTTCAAAGTCCTTCCAAAAGCCTGCAAGATCATATCTCATCTGCTTACCACCACCACCATTCAAAAACACCCATTAGCACTCTGACTTCATCGCTTGCCACTCTCCCCTTCACTTTCTCTGCTCCAGCTACTGTTCCATAGGGACATCAAGTGTGGTCACACCTCAGGCTCTTTGCACTTGCTACTCCTTCTGCCCAGAAAGCTTTTCCCCAGACGTGTGCACAGTCCGCTTGCCCAATCACCTCCTTCAGGCCTCCTCTCAAGTTGTCACCATTTCAGCAAGCCCTCTCTGAACATCATATTTAAACTTGCAGTCCTTCCCCCTGCCCAGCCCCCGTGATCCTC